TTACAAAGATAGTATAGAATGTTGTGTTGTGCCAGCAGCAAGGGAGGCTGCTGATGAAATGTCAAAAGAACCTAAGAGCCAGCTTGAAAGGGAATTCCACTAGCCATAATCGAGACAATTTTAAGCATCAGAAAGAATGATAGGGGTGGATTTTAGTACAGTGAGTTATGAATCTATGAATAAATAAGTACCCTAAATACAGGGAGGAAAATGAGGAGAAAGTACCTTTTCTATAAATAAGAATGCTAAATAAGAAGTGTAGAGGGAATCATAGATTTTTAAGTCATCCTTTGGTAAGCACAAATGTAATAGTTGATTTGGATAAGGTATCGAGTAGTGGTAAAGCCACTGATTGCAAATTTCAGTGGAATGGAATATTTACACCATCTCAAAGTATCACAGCACAGAAATTTCATATAGAGAAAAAAGGTATTGCATTTATACTGGAGGAACTGGATAGTCCCGAGGTAATTAAGTGACTGTAATATTGTCAATAGAGAGGCTCTATTATCTTATGTACCTCCTAGTAAAACACAGTGAGAAATATAAACCATCACCCACGTGATATTTTGCCAAACAATGTCTTACATTCTGATTTCATCATGTAGAATTAGGTTTAATATTATGAAAAAAATCAATGTATGAATATATATTAAATTATTTTAGAATTAATGCTAAATTTCTTAGATGTTATACAGTATTGTGGGTGTGCAGAAGAATGTCCTTATGTTTAAAGTCATGTGTACTAAAACATAAGGGGTTAAGTGTCATGATTTACTTTCAAATGGTTAAAAATATGTATGTATATATGGTATTTCCGTATCATATATATATATATATATATATATATATATATCACATACAAAAGTAAATTAGCAAAATGTTAATAGATGTTGAATCTGGGTAAAAGGTCTATAGGTCTTCTTTGTACTTGTCTTCCAATTTTTCCACAGCTTTGAACCATTTTACAATAAAATCTTGGACAAAAGAAATACAAGTCATCATATATATATATATATATATATCTCAAGCCTATTAGTGCCTAGCTTGTTATATACAATGTTCGATAAATGGTAGCAAAAATGAGACCACTTTACAATATGGTTTTCATCGTTCAAGGCCTCACATAGTCCATTTCACAACCTTGGATATAATCTGGTTAAAAGTTGAGGAGTAACCATGAAATGACGGAACTCTGGTTTTTTTTTTGTTTGAGACATTTCTGGAAAGAGAAAAATAAGAATTTCTTTAGTCTTTTATCACCAGCTACTTCCCAGATGAAGCCAAGGGGCTCGGGGTGGGGGATGAACTTCTCTCTCTAGCAGCCTACTACTTTGCAGGCTCCCCAAAGCATGGGATGCTGAAATGACACATTCTACAAATTCCCCAGAAGACAATTTTGGAGCATGGATAAAAGCAGCATGGAGCCAGTTAGTTCAATTCCAGAGGTTGCTCTCTGCCTCCCTGAGGGGATATTCAGTTAATTAACTAGGGCCATCCTCCATCCGGAGCTTGTCCTCCAGGTGAATGAGTTCCCCAGCAAATGGAAATATATCTCCTCCCTCTCTAGGAAGAACGGGCCTAATCGTGGCAAAGGGAGGGCATTCACACTGTGCTGAGACCTTCCAGCAGTTCTTGAGCTAGGCCCTTAGAAGAGCTACCAATGCCGGGCATCTTGTATGCCAATGTTTTTAATATGTAAGTGCCCACACATCTCCTAGAGTAGGAGTCAATGTTTTATTAATGATGTTTATATAAATTTAATACCAAAACATTGCCACTCACACATTATTTTGGTGAAGGCTTTGGAGTTTGTTTGTTTGTTTGTTTTCTCTCAGTGACAAGAATAAGAAAGAGCGATGTTAAGGCATGCCTTAAAGTTGGGACTTGGGATTTGCTGGTACACAGGGAGTTCATCATCGTCTGTCTTAGTTATTTTTCCTATTGCTGAGACAAAATATCCAACACAAAAAGTTAAAGGAGAAAGGGCTTATTGTAGTTCATAGTTTGTAGAGGTTTTAGTGCATAGTTGGCTGGCTCCAAGGCAGGGTGCCATGGCAGAGGGACATCACAGAGGAGAAACAGTTCATGACAGGCAGAAGGCAGTGACCAGCAAAGTAATGAAGCACCAAGTGACAACACCAGCCCTCTTTCTGTCCCTTATATTCTACCCAGGCTATAAACCCTTAGGGAAGACAGCATTCACACCCAGGAGGGTAAACCCTTAATCTTAGCATCGCATCATGAATCAATCCTAGCATCTCCCACTCTAGATCCAGCTACCTTTGTAAATCACCACCTATGACCACATGAAGCTTTGGAGAGATACAAGCCATAACATCCTTAAAGAGCTTTCCAAGGTGGGTGGGGCCTTTAAAAGAATGTGCCTGAGCTGCTCCTCAGTCAAACATTATGGTGATTTTCAATAGTGGCTTCTCCTTGTTTAACACCTAGAGATCCCCTGTAATAACTCAACTGTCACTAAGTCACCCTCTTGGCCCCAAGGACACTGCTACTCTTTGAGAGTCTATGTCACATTTTCTACTCTAGAGCAGCTGCTGCATGGTTTCTGAGTTGCTTGTGTTACAGGGTGTTCCTTTGCTAAAAATGTTACAAAATTTGTGACTTAGTGCAAATGTAGTAGCTGTGTTTATTGAAAATTTGCAACCTTCTGGATATTAATATAATTTCTTTTTTTATTAGTAAATGGTTGTAGTACATAATGTTTATATTTCTTGTAGGGAATTGGTATATGTGCAAAATATATCTTAAATCCTTTTTTTTTTCACGCCTTGTCCCTCCTAGTCCTATCTGTTTCTCGTATATGCTTGCAGTACATAATGTTTACATTTCTCTCATGGAATTGGTACATCCATATAACACCTCTTAATTCCTTTTTTCATTTCCTTTCCCTTCCTTTACTCCTCTCCCTGTCCCTTAATCTCCTTCTCCGTTAAGAAAGATTTATCTATCTCCTACTTCCTATTACCTATGTTTTAAACCATCCCTTGTAACGTAATAATCTACTTGGTAGGTGCTATCACTAAGTACGAGTAGAGATGAGGAAACTGAGGTAGTAAGAAGTTAAGCAGTGCGCCTCAGGCAAAATTGTCTCCCACGTCTCCCTTCTCAATTACTATGTGATTCTATCTGTTCTAGGAACGGGATGAATATTTCTGAAACAATGGAGTCAGATCAAGGGGAAGCTCTAGCTCCCTTCCGGGATGTGGAATATCTGTGACACACAGCCAACCCAGCAGAGCTCTCTCGTAGGCTCAGGTTGCAGTACATCTTTGCTGGACTTGGCCAGAACATGAGACTTGTCTCCTTTCCTGTTCTGTTTCCTCCAATCCCTTCCCAGTCTCCCTGAATCGATCCCTTGCACACTAATAGGCATTTCAGAGTCAAATTCTGGAGAATTAAATAAGACGCACAATGTCAGAGGCAGCATGCATGGTGGGAAACCTGAAGTCTAGCCATGGAGAGATGTTTCTTAGACTAAGTTCTAGAACTGGCAAATGCTATCCCATGGATGAGATACTGTGGTGGCATTACATGCAAATTGCAGTAGGATCCTGGGAAAGAACACCCAAGAAGTTCATAGCAGTCAAGGAAAGGTTCCTGGAGGAAGTAACGTCTGAGCAAACACTTGAAAAATGAATAGAGTTTGTCCTGAAAACACAGATAGAAAGGTGATTATAAGCAGAAGAAACAGCATAGATAAGGACAGGAAGGCAGGATGTGATGTGTTCTAGGAGTCCAAGAGACTTCATATCCTGGGAGTCTCAAGTTAGAGGCATGATGGAAGACAAACTATAGGAAATAGGCTCATTAGACGTTTGTGTGTAGGGATGTGGGAAATGAAGACTCCTGAGCTGATTTTCAAGTCTCTTTCTTGAGCTCCAGATGTACCTCTTTGAGACAAGGCACATAGGGTGAGAAGTCAGTATATCAGAGATTAGCTTATCTTTGAAAACTCTGAGTTTGAGATCCTTGTAAGACCTCCAGGTGAATAATCAGTTCTGGTTACATTCAGGGTTCATATGTATGCAGTACTTTCTTCTTTTGATTTGTACAGAATTGAGTTGTCTAACTTTGTGGTGGTGGATTGTCAACTTGAGTGGGAGCACTCAGCTGAATTGAGTCAGCATGGTTCTGGGCATGTAAACCCCACTTTAAGGAGGATTGTTGTTGCAATATAGAAAGGAAAATGAGAGGGAAGAATTTCAGCTGATTTTCCTTGGAAGGGCTTCATTGTGGATGATTTTCCTCAGAGGAGCTCTGGTCTTCACCTTCTCCTTGGGCATCATCTCCTGGCTTTAGACATTGATTCTTCAGGTTGCAGTACTGGCCTTTCAGCCTGCCAGCACAAACTCCAGCCTCTAGCGCCAACCCTTTGACCGCTTGGAACAGACAGCCTGCTAATACAGAAGCATACGGGACATTGCCGGGGACTCCAGGCCTTCAGCTGGATCCTTCAGGTCTCTAGCACGGATAGATCTTTTGCACTGTTCTACACTTGACTCAGTGGGTGGCTACTGTAGGCCAATCTTGTAAATTTCTCTGTCCTGAATTCAATTTGGTTTAGAGCACATGCAATCTTTTGAGGAGCTTGCTTCAGCCCTGCGAGATCTTGTAAGCATTGATTAATACAGACTTCTAATCTGAACCTGTTTAAAGAATAGGATTGATGCTTTCCTTTCAGAAGCATCAGTGTCATTAAGTCATGGGCAGAGGAGGCAGTAGATGGGGAGAAGAGGGAGGCAGGTGCAGAAGAGTCCATTGTGAGCACATATTGACAACAGAGCTGCACTGTGCTTGGGAACAGTGTCCCCTGAGGTGTACAATCCACAGCCTGCGTGGTCCTTCATTGAAAATATTGAGAAAAGGTGGGAAGATTAAACATACAGGAAAGATAAAAGCCTTATCCTTGCCTAGCATGGTCCTATGGGTATGTTCAACAGCCCCCTTTGCCCAGTAAACCGGCCTCCCTCACTCACCATCCTCTTCAGTCTGCACCACCAGCTCCTCACTCTCCATCCGTCCCTCAGGGTTGGACAGCAGTAGCCGCAGCTTGATGGTCATGAAGGGGCGCAGGCCCCGCAGGGTGTAATGGGAAGAGGTCTGGATGACCTCTTCAGCCTCGTACTGCTGCTGGTTGAACACGTACTGGTATTGCACTGTGAGATTGTAGCTGTGGCAGCGGGTCACTGCATAGCCAAAGGGCTCCCACTGGAGGGTCAGCTGCCGGGCTCGGATGTCCACAATCTCCACATTCTGTGGGCCATGCACAGGGTCTGCAAGAGACAAACAAGACACAGAGGCTCTGAGGAAACCATCAAAAGGGCAACAGTGAGAATGGCTTTGCCAAAGACATCTCAACCACTCTATTATAGCTTTTGTAATTTTTGCCTCATGCAGTATAATTCATATCACACTTTCCTTTAAATCAATCACCCTTTCTCATTTAAATACCTATATCAAAGAGAAAACATAAATACACGAAGTGAAAACTTGCCATAAATAAACGTTAACTATGAAAATGAGTGCAAAATTGTTAAATTCTTAAGGATCTGCGAAGGTGCCACTGAAAACCATCTTGGGTTTGCCAACAGCACAGACATTTCTGGAACGCACCGACTGAGACAGCTGCTGGAATTCTGACCTGTTTCCTGGCCTTTAATTCAGCCACCACCTCTCCCTGAAGGCCAGCCTCCCCTCTTCAGTTAACAGCATTCAAATGAGGAAGCTGGACAATGAGTCACATCCGTGACACAGCATCCGGTCGATCACCGCGGTCACGACGTCCTTTGGGCTCTGCCTTCAAATTTCCCCTCTTTGATGGGCCACACGTGGCATCATTTCCTGGCATTCTGTAACAGCTCTTTCCTCTTTCCGCTCCTCTCACTTCCTCCAGGAACGCCCTTCTCCCGGCACACCTGACGAGGGTTCTCACCCCACTGCGGCCCCACCCATTCCCCCACAGATCTTAGTCTCAGGCCCATACCTATTATTGCTTATGTCTTACGAATACTCATTATTTATACCATCCACAAGTTAAACAGATGCTTTGCACAAAATGATTGTTATGCTATAATTATTATTCCAAGTAAGATGTTTTCTTTTAAAATCATGTAAAGCACATTTTACGGTAAGGTTTAAGCATCGTTATGGTGGAAACAGAACTTCTTGTGGCACAGATGCCTTCGTAACTTTTTTTTTCTTTTTGGTACCGGGGATCGAACTCAGGACCTTGCACTTGCCTTCATAACTTTTTGAGTTAAATTCTATTAGCTGGGAAGCTACGGATTAAATCAGCATTCTCTCCATTATATCTACTGGACTTTGCCAAGCTATTTAACCTCTTTGGGCCCACTTATTTTCTTCATTTGCAAAATGGTAAAAGTAATAGTAGCTAACCTTACTTCAGGGGAGGGGAGTCAAATGGTATATTTATAAAGCAGTTAGGATTGCACCTGGGAGTTAATGAGCACTCCATATCTGATAGCTGGAGTTTGTTGTTGATTTTAAAGTAAAAGAAATGATAATAAAAATAATAACAGTGTTTCATATGCTGTATTTACACTGAATGTCTTATAGATGGCAGTTCTAGGTGGCCCCCTTACTCAAAATATGGACTAGGACACCATCACCTCTCCAGTCTGCTCAGGCATTTAGGGCAGGGCTGCCTCAGCACCAGTGCAGCAATAAGAAGGGCAGGATGTGGGACTCTTGGTGCCAGCTAAGCTTCCCTTCCCAATCCTTTCTTAAGGGAAAAAAATGTAACTTGTGTCAGAGGGTTAGCAAGGAACACATTTCACAGAAATGTCAGAGAGCCTGGAGAGACAGCCCACAGTGACTCACATGGCTGCTGATGTGAGCCAGCCAGGGAGAGTGGGCAGCCTAGGCCCCTGATCATCTCAGGAATTCATGGTCACTCTTACAGTTCAATTATGTATGCTCCCTGGTCCCCAAAACCAGTATCCCCAAACCAAATGGGCGGCTTTGAGAGTGTGACATTGAAGGAGCTGTGGCTGAGGGTCCACTGTGCTGGACTCATGTGGAATGACAGGTAAAAAGTGTGGTCCCCATAGTTGGGGGCTGGGACAGTGGCACAGGCTGCAGTGAGTACAGATGCATAAGCAATGGGATAGCAAGAGATGCTTGTCTGGAAATCTTCAGCAACCCCACCAGCCTGGCCCAGCTTGAGCCAGCAAGGTGGGTGTTCACCCTTTCTTAGGACTTCTGAACACTTCTCCTGTGGGTCTGCCTTCAAAACCAAAGCCAAGCCCCCATAAAATAAACAGCCTCATCCGCACTGTCTCCCCTCACTTAGGAGTGAAATCAGGGGCACTTGAGACTCATTAAAGCTCAAAGCTAAGACCACATTTGGTTAAACATCTTAAAATGTACCATATTGCACGTTAAATGTAATTTTTGAGATCTTCAATGTGGCCTTAAAGCACAAACAAAATAATAAGAACAAAAATACTATCAGTGAAGCAGCAGCCATAAGTACCAGGTTCCATCTCTGGAATCATCTTCGGACTCTGAGAGGGAGGGAGAGATTGCCAACCTATTTGACAGATGAAGAAACCGAACCCCAGACAAGTCAGGAACTTAACAGAGTAGTAAGCTTAGAAAGTGGCAAAACTGCGGCTTTGAACTTATGTCTGTCTGACCCCATGCCCGGTATGGTAAGTGAAAAAGGCCTTAATAAGTATCAGTGGAATTGATGCACAGTGAATTTTGTAAGTTCCAAAACAGCCTGTGAGGAAGGCACCACTAGTCAAATCCTAGAGGAAAGCAAAGCTCTATGAGATGAAATGACTGTCTTAAAGCTACACAGTGGGCGGCACAGCTGGGAATGAAGTCTTTGAGAGCCCTCTGGGTGTTCTCTGCACTGTGACACCGATGGAGACTGAGACCAGGAAATGAACATTACTGTGAGGCATGTCACAGCCCTCAAGAAATCTGGGCAGACCTGAGAGAGTGCTGTGGAAACCCTAAACTGTGAGACAGAAACTGCCTGACCCTTGGGAGCCTGGGACCCACTGGAAGGGAGACACTGAGACTTAAACACACTCGGTGCTAAGCTGACCACCGATGGTCCACCCGTGGATGCTTCTGACATCTCACCTGAGCAGGTGTGTACATTAAACTTTCCTCCTCCTTTAGAAGAGGGGAGCATCTCAGGACAACCTTTTCAGAAAGGCCAGGGGAATTTAGTTGTAAGCTGGCCACAAAGCAAGGCCTCCCTCCAGAGCAGGAATATTGGGCACAGGAAAAAAAATCCAGTTCCTTTGAAGCGCATGTGATTGACTGTCAGAGCAGGGCCCTGGCACTTAGTAGCTGAGTGACCTTGGGCAAGGACACTTCATCTTAGAGCCTCCATCTCCTCATCTATAAAGTGGAAATTATTACACTAATCTCCAAGGGCTGTTAATGAGCATAAAATGAACTGTAAAGAGAGAAAATTGCCTTTCCCTAACAGTGGGTATTCCTCTTAGATGGAATTGCCTTTCTTGGAAAAATGCCTTAAGCCTCCTGTCTAGAATAGAAACTACCTTTCCAGAGCCTTGGTCTCAGTCGCACTGAGTCTTCAGAGGAAGACATGCACAAAGTATTGAATGATTCGGATTGAGTAGAAGTACAAGAGTGAACAAATGGATGAATATTAGGGAGGCACAAACTGACCGTTCCTTATGTGACTCTTAGGCCTTCAACAAGGTCCCCCAAACACCACCCTTTCTGCTGTTGTTAGATTTCTTGTGTATTATAAAAAGGTCTGAGATCCATTTACCTTGGGCTAAATAAGATACCTTACGGGAACAACACATACAAAGCAGACTTGGAACATAGGCCCATACGTTACAAATATCTTGAAGATGTTCTTAGGAGAATGCCAGGCTATGGAAATTAAGAGGTTCATGGAAATCTCAAGCCAAAAGGGAAGAAGGACTCTTGTGGGCCTGTGGGTAAAACAGGCTTAGGTGAAAGTATTTTGTAAATGTGAGAGCTCTCATTTGAAGAAAAGGGAAGGTGATGGCTATTTATCAGGTGGCAGCTCTGGGTTAGGTGTCAGCCTTAGCTCTTACCTTCAGGAAACCATTTTATGGCATAGGAAATTGAGGCCCAGTGAAGGGACACAACTTAGTCAGGGCCGCACAACTATGCCCCCCACACTCCCAGGGCACTGTGTGCCATTGTACAGCATGCTCAGCATTTGTCATGGAGCCCAGGAATTGCTTGTTCATGTATCTTCCTGCCCTTCCAAGGTGCCAGGGATCATGTTCTGGTTATCCAGCAACCCCAGCATGTGTCACAGGGTCTGTCAGAGGCACTTCCTGTGAGATGAACAGCCAGCCAGCGACCTATTCTGGGGAAATGAGCTTGGATCCTCTGACTCCATAGTCCCTGCTCTGTTCCCTCCAGCATGTCAGCAGTTATGAAGACAAACATTTCTTTCTAGCATTCAAACAAGATGTCCTGAAATCCTGTACAAAAGAAACTAGTTTTCAGGATGTGCAATGGAAGTATTCATGCTTTCAATCTGACCCCCTAAACCTTAGCCTCCAAACCCAGCTTCTGCTTCAGTAATTGCCTCCAGCAAGCACAATCTTGGGTTTACATTCTGGTTGGTGCAAACAAGTTGGAAATTGCTGAGAAAGCCTTGTGTGCGCAGTGGAGACTGGTTTGTTGAATTTACATCTCCTGTGTAAATACATCCAAACCTTGAGCCATGGTTTCTGCCTCCAGACAAGGCCCTGTCCGTATAACCTTCTTGAGTAACAGCCTACAGGCCAAGAAGACAAAAAATAGTAGAATGAGAGAGTGGCTCCTCTGGCAAGTGGGAAATCATCCTGTCATAGAAAATCTATGTGCTTTGGCCTCTGAATGTGCTTTCTAGATAACCTCAGGTCGGGCCACAGGGGCCCTGACTTCAGCAGCCAATGGGGTGTGCCCACCTGAACCCTGTTCTCTCTTCTCACAAGGCAGCAGGTCCCTGACATCCCAGAATTCCTTGCCCCAAGTTACTCCAAATTTACTGTGAGGGTCGGTCTGATCCTCTTCTGTGGGTCTGCTCTTCCTGTAAACACTACTAAGACCAAAAGAGTTCTGTCTGCAGGATCTGGACAGAACCTGCATTTGAGAATTGAGGTCCACACACGTGTGTGAGCCTTTTAACAGGAGGGACAGCATTAGGTGAAGGGAGCAGGGAAAGGGGCCCCAAGCCTTCACGTGTGCTCTGATCCCAGGCTTACCTATTACCTTGCATGTGTTAGGGATGAGGGGG